CCACTCTCTTACATGAAGAGGAGGTTCACGGACAATCAGGATGGACCCCGCCAGCATTAGCATGCCACAGTCATAACATTACCAATTCCACATTACCATGTGAGTCGTTCCTCCCGGAAGCCTCGTACAACAATCATAAACATTTATCATCTCATAAATGTTCGTCATTCAAACCTTTCACTTTTATCTCACTTTTGTCTTTCAGTCCGAGAGTACGTAAATTGAAACTTTCCGCCCTCTTTATAACGAGGAGATCGAGTCGGGTCTCGACATCTGACGTGACCCACGAATGATCGTATACGAAGGGCTCGACATTGAGTCGCAGAGGATGCGGATTACGAGGGTGTGCTGCGTCGACCAGATGAATGATCTGTATTACGAAGGGTGCTCGACATTGACGGTCGACACAGATGACTGATCTGTAGTTTACGAAGGGGTGCTAGCAACATTGACGGTCGAACAGATGAATGATCTGTTTCGAAGGGTGCGACATTGAAGGTCGACAAAGATGATGATGTATTACGAAGGGTGCTCGACATTGACGGTCGACACAGATGAATGATCGTGATTACGAAGGTGCTCGACATTGTCGTCGAGAGTGGGGATCTGTATTATAAAGGGGGCTAGCACTGCGGTCGACAACAGATGAAGGATTGTGATTTCAAGGATTTTTCAAGAAAGAGTGAGCGCGTTGGGTAAGACCGAGCACTACCCAATACGATTACTATGTGTAGATCGACATGCTCCTTGGCTTTAGAAAGCTCTCATAACTCATACTCGACCCAGACCTTCCCAAATGGAGTATCCAATTCAAAGAGTTATGGAACACCAAACGGTCGAGAAACGTGTTAATGTCGGACACACATCTATAGGGAAATTTGTATCCGTTTCACTTACGTTCACTACTTCCAGCATGTATATTTCCTATTCAACATATCACTCATATCATCCTTCAACAACATATACTATGCTATGCAGTACAACAACGTACGACAATGCATACTCACCAAATACACTCTACTTATGATCATATACCAAATCAAATAACACAGTTCATACTTCAGCGGCACCATAATGTTAACTACAAGACAAACTACGAATTAAATTAATACAGCTTCCTTCCTGGAATCAGCAGTGAAGGTCCTAATCACGGTGTTTGGTTCGTACGCAACAGTTCTCTAATCACACCGATCATTATTCTTCCAACCCGATGAACCATAAAAACCAAGAATACTAAGAAATCAACCCTTATGCAACCAGATTGGCTTTGCATGAGTAGAAACGTTCGACGAGGAGGAGATAGAGCGATGAACCAGTATCAGAAAGTTGAGGTGACGGTTTAAAACGAACGCTACGGACACCAGGAACGTTCCTACGGTTCGAGAACGTGGTCGGAGAAGAAGGTGAATTAGATAAGACAAAAATTATAAAATAAAAACTCATTATAAAATCATTTTTTGTAAGAAATTGTTTAACAGCGAGTATTTCTGATTTTTTTCCAGGTCAATTACCAATTCCTTTATGCTTGTGAAAATTGGATAAAATTAGATAAGACAAAAATTATAAGATGAAAACTCATTATAAAATCATTTTTTTGTAACATTGTTTAACAGCAAGTGTTTCTGATTTTTTCAATTGGGGCTAGAGGGATGACTGAGAAAAGATTAGAGTGAGAAAGAGAAAAGGGAAAGGGTTGAGAGGAATGAGAGAGGTGAGTAAGGGTTTGGGGGGTTTCTTTTTTCTTTTTTTAGTTTTGAGAATGAAAATTATTAAAATACCCTTAACTTTAAAACTTAGAATACATGATATATAAGGATATTTTTGTCTACTAAAATCCGGTACACATTGCTAAAAAGTACCAACTGAAAAACAGGCGTACGCGCGTTAGCAAACCCCTATATATATATATATATATATATATATATATATATATGCTGACATGAATTATATCATGTAGATAAATTAATTGCTTTGTTCTATCTCTTAAGAAAATATTTGATGAAAATTTTCAAATGTTCATTATCTAAATATATCATCAATCATCAAAACATTTTATCACCATAAATTTTAATATGTCTCATAATAATACTTGTTTTGAATAGTCGAGTTAAAAACTATTATCTACACTTAATTACTAGTCTTCCTACGTCAATATTTCTAGTTTAGTCTTCGAGTCGAGTGGTGGTGTACATATTACACTCTGAGGTACATATTACACTCTGAGGCTCAAGTTAGTTACTAAATTTGATTGGTTATCACAACACAGTACTAATATCACAATAAATCCAATCACCTACCTATTTACCTTATCTTTGTATTTATAGGTTTCAAAGTGGGCTTTTAAGGGTTGATCACAGGATAAATAGAAGCGTTGAGTGCACAGTTATAGTACAATTAATATCTTGTTGCTTTATTATTCATCAATAAATAGACTTTCAATTACTTCTGGGTGAGTGAATGTGTCTTCAAAGTGCCTTCCATACTTATGATGTCTCTTCTTATTTGCTTTTGATCCATTGTCTTCCTCTCTTATTTTTACTCAAAAATATACAAAATTAATTCATAGTTATATTCATTTTTTAACTTCTTTCTTTTCTTCTAAAGTTAACTCATGTGAGCATCTCACGTGATCATGTGTGAAACTGACTACTACTTATTTGACTTCTATATTTTATGATATTTATTAATTAGTTTAGAGTGTTTTCTAAAATTTAGATTCATCTAAAATTTCTCATCAGAATAATATTATTATTGCATAGTAGGATATTTGAATCGACCGACTAGCAACCCAAACGATCACCAAAGATAAAATAACGAGTTGTCATATGACCATCCCCGAACGATCGTCCACCCGCTATACAGAGCGATCGTTATATCATATTCAGCGATCGGCTTGTAGCGATCGTCTGTTGATTAAACCAAATGCTCAACATTACCTCGCAGGGTCACGTCAACCTAGTCAAAGGTAAGAGTCAACAGACCTTCGGTCAATTTTAGTCAAAATGGATCTTTTAATCCTAATAAACTAAAGAATAAGCAGTTAGAAATATGTGGCCATGATGTTGCAAATCGCGGAACCAACTAACCCAATATCAAGTACGACCAAGCGGTTGTATTTTCCAAGCAGTTAAGTTCTCCAACCAACCGGATTTTTAAGTAAACGGTTTATCTTATTGCTAGGTTAAATATGGAAAACCAGAAGGAAAAAAGGTACGTTTTTCTGAATAGAGGAGAGGAGAAAAAGATATTATTTCTTCTATTATTGGATTGAAAAAGTTCTATCATTCCCTTTTTCTGACTTGAGCGTCGGAGTGCCTTCGCAGGTACTCACTCCATTCTCCCTGAAGAGTTCTAGGCAGGAGGAAGAACTACATTACTGGAAGGAGAGGACGTGACTCATCGGATTCGCATCTCGGCCTCAACTACTATACCGAAACATTTTGGCGCCCACCATGGGGCACGAGATTTGATATCCCAAAGAAGACCACAAAAGCTATGGAGGACAACAACACCCGAGATTTGATCAAGCAACTGCAAGCACAGATCGAAGCGCAAGCGCAAACAATACGAGAACAGCAGGAAATTCAGCGCAAACAAACAGAGGAGCTTGCGGCGCTGAGGGCGCAGCGTCCTCCGTCGGAAATATCGGCCTCCAACCGACAGGACGATAATGAAGGCAGCCATCATGGAGGACCATCTGAACCTGTCGGAGAAGGAAGGAAGGGGCCCACCTCTCTGCGGCTCACTAACCTACTTCCATTTACGGAAGCCATCATGCAAGCTCATATGCCGGAAAATCCCCCTCCGACGTTAGAAAGATACGACGGTTTAGCAGACCCCGACAATCATCTCCGCAATTTTATAGATGTCATGGCGTTCTACACGGATAATGATCTCGTTATTTGCAGAGCTTTTTCGTTTTCCCTGAAAGATGAGGCACTCGAGTGGTACCACACTCTTCCTCAAAATTCGGTGAATTGCTTCGCCACCGTAGAAGCTCTCTTTCAAAAACAGTATGCTACCAACAGGAGACCGGAGATGACTCCTACTGAGCTCGTGAACACCAAGCAGGAGAAAGATGAGACCTTGAAGGCCTTCATGCAAAGATACAACGAGACGACCCGACGTGTGAAGGACGTGAACCACACATTTATAATCTGTAATCTACCCTCGTGTTTACGGCCGGGATATTTCGCGGAACAGCTGTATGCAAATCCTCCAAAGTCTATGGAGGAACTCCAGGCAACGATCGCAAAATTCATCTGCATCAAGGACCTAAGGAACTCCAGAAAAAAGCAACAACATGAAAGTCCGAACAATAGTACCAAAAAAGACATAAAACGGTTGTCTAACGACTATAAAACTGATCGACCCCCTCGAAAAGAATCGGGGTGGACACCCAAATACGAACGTTATACATCCCTCAACGCACCTAAGGCGAAGGTGCTCGAAGAGGCACTGCACGCAGAACTTCTCACCGTTTGGCAAAAGGCTACTCCAAAGAATGCTGATGGCAGTAAAGTGTGTCGACTTCATCTTAACCATGGTCATGATACAGAAGAATGTAACATGGTGAAAGATGAGTTAGAAAGACTCATACGCGCGAGATATCTCCAAAAATACATCAAGGAGAGAACATCCACCAGAGCAGCAACTCCCAGCCGGAAGGAAACCTCTCGGCGAAGTCTTGAACGATCACCACCCAGGGACGACCGACGGAGACCACGATCCCGGAGCCAACCCCGACACTCGGAGAGGGAGAGGTCGGTCCGAGGGCGAATCGACACTATATCTGGTGGCTTCGCAGGGGGAAGAGCACCAACCTCCGCCTGGAAGCGACATTTGAGAAACTTAAAGACGGTGCACATGGTAGATCGACAACCTCGATCCATGCTTAGCATCACTTTTACTGACGCAGATTTCCACGTTCCCGACCCTGACCACGATGATCCCATGGTCATCACAGTCGAAATAGCCCGTTACGATGTCAGCAAAGTGCTCGTCGATCAAGGCAACTCATTCAATATCTTGTACTGGACCACCTTCCAGAAAATGGATTTATTCGAAAACCTGATAGTCCCTTTCAACGAGCAGATTGTAGGCTTCGCAGACGAAAGAGTCGACACTCGGGGATACCTCGACTTACTAACTCGACTCGGAACGGGCAGGGAGGCGTGAGAGCTCAGAATCAGGTTCCTATTGGTAGAGGCAAATACCTCGTATAACGCCTTACTAGGACGACCTTGCTTGAACGCTTTCGGTGCCATCGTATCCACCCCCCATCTGGCTATGAAATTCCCGACAGAAAGAGGTACCATCTGTACCGTAAAGGCTGATCAGCGAACGGCTCGACAATGTTACGTCGTTGGTTTAAAGGTCACCCTTTCATGCCACCTAGGAGAGCTAGAGGAGCCGAAACAGTGGCGATCGACTTGGATCCCAGAACCAATGTAGACGAACGTCTCCATCCATAAGGAGACGTCAAAACATTCCAATTGGAAGCAGATGCGTCAAAAACCACGACCATTGGGGTAGCTTGGTGCATCATGATGAAGCAGGAGCGCGTAGAAAAGGTCACCGCGAGTGACTCAAAACGCATCGCAAGATTTCTATACATAGGCGACGACCTATACAGGCGTGGCCACAACACACCCCTGTTAAAGTGCATATCGACGAACGAGGCGAACTACGTCCTATGTGAGCTCCACACCGGGATTTGCGGCTTTCATTCGGGCAAACGTACGCTCAGAGCGCGCATTCTACGCATAGGATATTACTGGCCAACGATCGACCAAGATTGCGAGACATTTGTCAAGAAATGTCTCTCATGCCAAGCACATGGTCATGACTTNAAATAGAAGCGTTGAGTGCACAGTTATAGTACAATTAATATCTTGTTGCTTTATTATTCATCAATAAATAGACTTTCAATTACTTCTGGGTGAGTGAATGTGTCTTCAAAGTGCCTTCCATACTTATGATGTCTCTTCTTATTTGCTTTTGATCCATTGTCTTCCTCTCTTATTTTTACTCAAAAATATACAAAATTAATTCATAGTTATATTCATTTTTTAACTTCTTTCTTTTCTTCTAAAGTTAACTCATGTGAGCATCTCACGTGATCATGTGTGAAACTGACTACTACTTATTTGACTTCTATATTTTATGATATTTATTAATTAGTTTAGAGTGTTTTCTAAAATTTAGATTCATCTAAAATTTCTCATCAGAATAATATTATTATTGCATAGTAGGATATTTGAATCGACCGACTAGCAACCCAAACGATCACCAAAGATAAAATAACGAGTTGTCATATGACCATCCCCGAACGATCGTCCACCCGCTATACAGAGCGATCGTTATATCATATTCAGCGATCGGCTTGTAGCGATCGTCTGTTGATTAAACCAAATGCTCAACATTACCTCGCAGGGTCACGTCAACCTAGTCAAAGGTAAGAGTCAACAGACCTTCGGTCAATTTTAGTCAAAATGGATCTTTTAATCCTAATAAACTAAAGAATAAGCAGTTAGAAATATGTGGCCATGATGTTGCAAATCGCGGAACCAACTAACCCAATATCAAGTACGACCAAGCGGTTGTATTTTCCAAGCAGTTAAGTTCTCCAACCAACCGGATTTTTAAGTAAACGGTTTATCTTATTGCTAGGTTAAATATGGAAAACCAGAAGGAAAAAAGGTACGTTTTTCTGAATAGAGGAGAGGAGAAAAAGATATTATTTCTTCTATTATTGGATTGAAAAAGTTCTATCATTCCCTTTTTCTGACTTGAGCGTCGGAGTGCCTTCGCAGGTACTCACTCCATTCTCCCTGAAGAGTTCTAGGCAGGAGGAAGAACTACATTACTGGAAGGAGAGGACGTGACTCATCGGATTCGCATCTCGGCCTCAACTACTATACCGAAACATTTTGGCGCCCACCATGGGGCACGAGATTTGATATCCCAAAGAAGACCACAAAAGCTATGGAGGACAACAACACCCGAGATTTGATCAAGCAACTGCAAGCACAGATCGAAGCGCAAGCGCAAACAATACGAGAACAGCAGGAAATTCAGCGCAAACAAACAGAGGAGCTTGCGGCGCTGAGGGCGCAGCGTCCTCCGTCGGAAATATCGGCCTCCAACCGACAGGACGATAATGAAGGCAGCCATCATGGAGGACCATCTGAACCTGTCGGAGAAGGAAGGAAGGGGCCCACCTCTCTGCGGCTCACTAACCTACTTCCATTTACGGAAGCCATCATGCAAGCTCATATGCCGGAAAATCCCCCTCCGACGTTAGAAAGATACGACGGTTTAGCAGACCCCGACAATCATCTCCGCAATTTTATAGATGTCATGGCGTTCTACACGGATAATGATCTCGTTATTTGCAGAGCTTTTTCGTTTTCCCTGAAAGATGAGGCACTCGAGTGGTACCACACTCTTCCTCAAAATTCGGTGAATTGCTTCGCCACCGTAGAAGCTCTCTTTCAAAAACAGTATGCTACCAACAGGAGACCGGAGATGACTCCTACTGAGCTCGTGAACACCAAGCAGGAGAAAGATGAGACCTTGAAGGCCTTCATGCAAAGATACAACGAGACGACCCGACGTGTGAAGGACGTGAACCACACATTTATAATCTGTAATCTACCCTCGTGTTTACGGCCGGGATATTTCGCGGAACAGCTGTATGCAAATCCTCCAAAGTCTATGGAGGAACTCCAGGCAACGATCGCAAAATTCATCTGCATCAAGGACCTAAGGAACTCCAGAAAAAAGCAACAACATGAAAGTCCGAACAATAGTACCAAAAAAGACATAAAACGGTTGTCTAACGACTATAAAACTGATCGACCCCCTCGAAAAGAATCGGGGTGGACACCCAAATACGAACGTTATACATCCCTCAACGCACCTAAGGCGAAGGTGCTCGAAGAGGCACTGCACGCAGAACTTCTCACCGTTTGGCAAAAGGCTACTCCAAAGAATGCTGATGGCAGTAAAGTGTGTCGACTTCATCTTAACCATGGTCATGATACAGAAGAATGTAACATGGTGAAAGATGAGTTAGAAAGACTCATACGCGCGAGATATCTCCAAAAATACATCAAGGAGAGAACATCCACCAGAGCAGCAACTCCCAGCCGGAAGGAAACCTCTCGGCGAAGTCTTGAACGATCACCACCCAGGGACGACCGACGGAGACCACGATCCCGGAGCCAACCCCGACACTCGGAGAGGGAGAGGTCGGTCCGAGGGCGAATCGACACTATATCTGGTGGCTTCGCAGGGGGAAGAGCACCAACCTCCGCCTGGAAGCGACATTTGAGAAACTTAAAGACGGTGCACATGGTAGATCGACAACCTCGATCCATGCTTAGCATCACTTTTACTGACGCAGATTTCCACGTTCCCGACCCTGACCACGATGATCCCATGGTCATCACAGTCGAAATAGCCCGTTACGATGTCAGCAAAGTGCTCGTCGATCAAGGCAACTCATTCAATATCTTGTACTGGACCACCTTCCAGAAAATGGATTTATTCGAAAACCTGATAGTCCCTTTCAACGAGCAGATTGTAGGCTTCGCAGACGAAAGAGTCGACACTCGGGGATACCTCGACTTACTAACTCGACTCGGAACGGGCAGGGAGGCGTGAGAGCTCAGAATCAGGTTCCTATTGGTAGAGGCAAATACCTCGTATAACGCCTTACTAGGACGACCTTGCTTGAACGCTTTCGGTGCCATCGTATCCACCCCCCATCTGGCTATGAAATTCCCGACAGAAAGAGGTACCATCTGTACCGTAAAGGCTGATCAGCGAACGGCTCGACAATGTTACGTCGTTGGTTTAAAGGTCACCCTTTCATGCCACCTAGGAGAGCTAGAGGAGCCGAAACAGTGGCGATCGACTTGGATCCCAGAACCAATGTAGACGAACGTCTCCATCCATAAGGAGACGTCAAAACATTCCAATTGGAAGCAGATGCGTCAAAAACCACGACCATTGGGGTAGCTTGGTGCATCATGATGAAGCAGGAGCGCGTAGAAAAGGTCACCGCGAGTGACTCAAAACGCATCGCAAGATTTCTATACATAGGCGACGACCTATACAGGCGTGGCCACAACACACCCCTGTTAAAGTGCATATCGACGAACGAGGCGAACTACGTCCTATGTGAGCTCCACACCGGGATTTGCGGCTTTCATTCGGGCAAACGTACGCTCAGAGCGCGCATTCTACGCATAGGATATTACTGGCCAACGATCGACCAAGATTGCGAGACATTTGTCAAGAAATGTCTCTCATGCCAAGCACATGGTCATGACTTCCGCGTCCCTCCTGAAGAATTGCATGGCATCATCTCCCCATGGTCGTTCGCCCAATGGGAAATCGACATCGTCGGACCGTTGCCGATCGCCAAGGCTCAAAACAAATTCCTCTTGGTGGCGGTCGACTACTTCACTAAATGGATAGAAGCCGAACCACTATTCAAAATCAGCGCCCAGCGAGTACAGAAATTCATCTGGCAGTTGATATGCCGGTTCGGTCTGCCACAAAAGATCATCACAGACAACGGCAAGCAGTTCATTGAGAAAAAGTTAGAGTACTTCCTCAGAAGCCTGGGGATTAAACATGTGACCAGCTCGGTCGAACATCCACAAACTAATGGACAAGCAAAGGTCGCAAACAAAGCTCTGCTCACAGAATTGAAAAAACGAATTGGCGAGGCTAAAGGTTTATGGGTGGAGGAGCTACCCGAAGTCCTATGGGCGTACAGGTGCACCTCGCACTGATCCACTGGGACACTCCATTCAATTTGACGTACGACACCGATGTCATGCTCCCAGTCGAGGTCGGAGAGCCATCACTAAGACGCAGCATCACTAACATGACCCTCAATGATGAACAACTAAAGATGAATCTCGACACATTGCCCGAGCGGCGAGATGTAGCCACCGTTCGTGCAGCAGCACAAAAAAGAATGTTCTCCCGCCATTATAACACTAAAGTCAAGCCTAGAGCCTTCAAAAATGGCGACCTTGTGTGGCGGAAACGAGGAGAAGCAAGAAAAAATCGAGCGCACGGCAAACTAGCAACCAACTGGGAAGGACCATTCCGCATTACTGAGGACCTAACGAATGAGGCATACCACCTTGAACTCC